TACATTAACCTAAGAAAATATTAAATATGCGTAATATAAGTATGAAAATCTAAAAATATGCACTTTTCCCTTAAAATTGACAAAATATGCAAAATATGCATTTTACATTTTCGATTTTTAAACTGAACATCGTATAGCTCGAACTTCTAGCTTGGTCAGCTATAATTCGAAGTTGTGTCGAAAAATATGCAACTTCTATAACTTTCGAGCCCTAATTATTATAACATTACAAACCGGTAATAATTATAATATTATTATTTTGAACCTATATTCTGACCGTATACACGTCATCATTTTAAAGTGTATATTTTTTTTTATGTAATGTATATTTTGCCTGTTGTAAGTTTTAAATTTGGATGATTTAAGCTCGGGTTTTTGATTTTCTTATAGAATTGTGTTCTTGAACAAAATTTACGGATAGTGTGTGTGTGTGTGTGTGTGTGTGTGTGATTAAAACTACATTATATCGCAAAATGACTTACAGGGGCCTGATACTTTAAGACGATGCTCGGAATATTGGTACGGTCCATACAATTTATAACAAGAGAAAAAAAAACGCGGAAAACTGGTACTATTCAAAATTTAATTGTCAGGGGTTCTAAAATATTTACAATGTTTATAATATAATTTTGATAAATTAAAATCGTCAACAAGTTAAACATGAATAATACTTAAAACAAAAAAAATAATGTTAGCAATCGAAATGAACAAAAAACACAAATAGGTGCATACAAAGTAGCTGGCAGCTAAATTAATATAAAATATAGGTACAATAAATATAATATAATATAATTTATGATTAATAATTATTACTTCGTATACTTTGCTATATTATTTAAAAATTGTCCTATTTGAATTTCTATTTATTTTTGAAGCTCTCATATTCGTTGTGTAATTTGTCTTGCAAAACCTAACCTAACCAAGGATGTAACACTATCTTTGTTTTTTTAAATTGTTACAAGTCCCTGAATGAGAGTAATTTTAATCAGTTTTACATTATATTATTTGTATTTTGCGACATCTGTGTTTTGCTAATAATTTATTTATTTTCTTTCAGTATTTATACGAGTATAACTACGTATGTTATATTAACGGTTCATAACCAATATATAAATTTTACATTTTTCTCTTTAAAATTGTTTTTTCTTCACTCTATTTTTTTATTTGTGATTATACATGTACGCTACTTGTACAGTATACAGTGAAACCTCCACTAACGGACACCTCCCAATAGCGGACACCTCCCAATAGCGGACGTTTTTTGGGGAACGGGGACATTTTCACTACTTTTCAATAGGAAAACCTCCGAATAGCGGACTCTCCGAATAACGGACATTATTTTATTAGGGAATTTTTAAAATAATGGTAAATCCCTAATCATTATTTGAAAATATAATCTGTAATATGCCTATCTGTAATACGTATTCACATTCGTATGCACTCTTGTAATAATGTAACATAGGTAATTACGATAACAAACTCGTTATGGGACGATACGATTATGACAAATTCGGTTATCGGTGAAGCAATTATGTCTTATGACAAAAGTATGTCAGTTAGTGACGGTTTTCGACGCGATGACTACGTTAAAACGAAAGCGGTTGTCGCTCCGCGAAAAAATTGACATTTTAGATTACCGTAAAAACAACGGAAACGTAGGAATTCGTGTACTCGCAGAAAAGTTTCAAGTTGGAAAAACACAGATCGCGGATATTGTAAAAATATACTTTAAATAATAATATGTAATTCGTAAAAATATAAAAATGTAATAACTTACAATAAATAATAAGTAAAAACATTACATATATGTATATTTACATACATAGTACATTATTATACAAATAAATTTCAAAAATGTATCCCCTCTGAATAACGGACACCTCCGAATAACGGACAAAATGTTGGTGACCAAGAGTGTCCGCTATTCAGAGGTTTCACTGTATTGTACTTTTTATTAAGATTCGGCTATACAATTTAGTGGCTACTATTTATACTGATATATGGTTAGATCATTGTCATTATTGGTAAAAAATGAAGTTATTATTATTACGTAAGATAATTATTTAAGACATAATATTACTCAGAAAAAAATTAACTTTGGTTTACAATCATATATCGACTTGTATAAAAACATAGATGTATGGTTAAGACCTCTTGCAGGGAAAACATTAAAAAATTGCCATAGATTACCATTACAGAGTTATATTATAAATATTGTATAGGTATACAATGATAGTATTATCCCAGTAGATCATTTTATCTTGTGGGCGTTTTGCAAACGCTGTAAATAATAAACGGCCAAACGGTTAAATAAAAAGTACTGAAATTTAAAATCAAAGCATTGTTTCTACCAGAAAAAGTGTTAAGAAACAAAAAAAATTTACATTATCAAAACAAAAAAATAAAAGCCTATAAAAATCAAAATCATTTATTAATAATTTTTTTAGTAGTATTTAGAAGTTATAACGACGTAGCTTCGTTTCAGAACTAAAGAAAAGCAAATACCTTCAAAATCAGAACTTTATTAATGAGCAATTTTTAAAATTATAGTAAAAATGCGTGTACAGAATTTGAACATTTAGTTTTTGTCGTCGCTCTACTCACGGCTCTCAGTTTACCTGTGTTTAGTCATATTAGGTACGTTTTCAGTTATACTTTATTGTGCTTGTAGAACCACAAGTTGTAGGCGTTTACTGAATGCTGCGGTGGGTTATTGTGTTCGCCCAGCCGCGGGTCGTCAATTGAAACCGTGTCATTATTGGTCCTCACGTTTTACGCCTTTTAATACGCTTTCCTAAAGTTTGATGTTTTCGATCTGCGTGATTATTTCGTTCAAAACACAGAATGACATACATATATTATATTATATAATGGTTCAAATAGAGGATATAAGTTAGGTCGTGGCACATTGAGATGCGCTGGCGAGACGGTTAAAATATGAAATAATATCGGTAGATATGATGACATTTTTGCGACTCGTAGGTAAGTGCAATATTTAAAAAAAAATTGATCGACGTTTTTTGAAATATCAATGAAACTTCAACGAAGATCGGATGATAATATGTCTTCAGTGCAGTACTTGTTCAAAAGATACGTCGTGCGAGGGCCCGTATACTTTTTTAAATTCATAAATTGTATGGGTCGCGGATACTAAAGACAATACGATAAATACCATACCTTTGCTGATGTATCTTAAAAACTTTTTAACTTTTTATTGCATTTTTTTTTAAGCTATTTTATTGTGCTATCAAATCTATCTATACATAAAGAAAAGTTACTTTAGCAATAGTCAACGCAGAGCCGAACCTATTTGAGTTATCAAATTGAAATTTTGAGGATGATGGATTAATATTATGTCAAGTTCCACTAAGAAATAATTTTTCAAAGTTTTGATTTTAAAGGGTTGAAATCGGCACAAATAAATTGTTACAAATTGTATATCTAAATACATATTTCACAATACACAAATGCACAGGTGGATTGTCTACATGATTAGCTGCAGTACATTGTTTGCGATCCGACGAAGTCGGATTGCTTATCTAGCTACCTAACTTGAATGTAATCGATTTTCACTTGAGGTGACTCAATTGATAGACATTCAAACACGGATGTCAAATTTTTCATATGAAAAAGTACCGGACATACGACGGGGATCCGTATTATTCATTATCGGTATTATTCAATTGCCAATTTTCGTAGGTGATGTGAGATTTCTAGACACTGAAACTGAAATTTCAAATATTCTCGAGTTCGAAACTAGGCGTCCAAGCCTTATTAAAAATCCTTATTATTTCCTCGATTTTTGTATTTTAAAAAAGTTGGAGCACAATTTAGTATACTAATTACTATATTTAGGTATTTTATTAATTAATTATAAAGAAAAAAATTACATCTAATATAGTATGTCATTAAAGAATAATAAACCAATGAAAAGTAATTTTTTCCTTGTCTTTATTTTCCTATAGTCGAGGCTTTTTTCGGAATACCATTTTTAGAGCCTCAATTGTAGGAGGGTACTTATATCGTGTGTATATAATTATAAATATGAAAATAATAACTGCGTAGTATATATAGGTGTGGAGGGTATTCCAACATTACGATCACAGCATTCAGTTTTCATTTTTATTCGTAAATTATTCGGTATAGCCAACAGGCTACAGACAATTCTAAACGTTTATTTCCGCCCGTTGGCAGCAGTGCACCATTTCGTCGACCAAAAACGGCTGTGTGCTGTTAGGGTACTATGCTGTAAACCGACTTCGCTAACAACTCACTATTCGTTTGGTGGCGAGTCATCGTAGTCCCGTCAAATAATGTGTGAGTGGCGACTGACGAGTGTACACGCACAGATTATAAAAAAAAAAAATTGGAGATTCCCAAGTTACATATTATATTGTAATACATATGTGCGAAGCATGTCCATAAACCCGGGCAGCACTGTTTTTATTTATCTTTTTTGTTCTCTCGTTCCTACTCCTTGTCGCCGACCAACGCGAGTCTACAGTTGGCACCGCACTACAATATTATGGTGACCACTACCTGCGCCATAGCCAGGCATTTATTTCACGCGCAGTCGCGCAGGCACTCGGCGATCGTTGTTGGCCTGATCTAGTTCGTAACGTAGGCCTGCGCAGTACGTCGTCCTTTTTACCAGGATACACTGTTTTTTTTTCTCTCTGTTGCTCTCTCGTTTCCGCTCCACGTCGCCGACCAACGCGAGTCTAACAGTTGGCAGCACCACCCTACAATATTATGGTCACCACAACCTGCGCCTTAGCCAAGCATTTATTTCACGCGCAGCCGCGCAGGCACTCGGCGTTCATTGTTGATCCACTCTCGTTAGCTTCGTCCCGCTCCGCACTACGTCGTCGCACATCGAACCGTATGAACAGCTAACGATTACTACATTTATGTTTTACTTAATAGTTCAATAATATTATACATAATAACTATTGTTAACTGCTCAGTGCTCAATCTTATGACTGTCTTGTATTGAACAGCATCGCCGCGGCGTTCACGTCTCTCTCAAAAAAAAAACCATGGGAAACACGTGCACTGCATCACTTTTACAACGACCGCCATGTCGGATGATCAGCAAATTGCTATCCCGGTGATCCGTACCGACGACTGCCATGCCGAACAGCCGCCAAAAGACGACGCCGCAGCCGCCACATGCCCAATACAGCCGCTGAAGGACGACGCGTCCTGCTCCATACCGCCGCCGAATTACGAAACCAAAATGTCGGATTCCGGATTGTTGGCAGAGAAAGATGACGCCTCTAGTTTCACACCGCCTCCAAACTACGATGCCATCTTCGCACCGGTGCCAAACACTGACGATGGTCGCACATTGCCGCCAAAGGCAGACGCCAGCTCCGCACCTCCACCGATGGACGACATTGCACCCCCAGCCCGCCTATCACTGTTGCCTTTGGACGAAACAGTCCTCATTAAGGCCAACAATGGTCTTGAAAACGCTGACAGGTACGACGATGTTTAGTAAAATATAATAATAATAATAATAATAATAATAATAATAATAATAATAAGTAATCATTTTTGGCGCGTAGCGTATTCATGTTTATTATCATTATTGTGTAATATGTTGGTAGTAGGTTGTGATGGGTGATTCACGTCGGTGAATCAATTTTTAAATCGATTTAAATCGGAATGAATAAATCGGTGTCCAAAAAATCGATTTAAATCGATTCTCATTTTTGATCACCAGATGCCGTGTGACATTCTAGTTCTCCTTTTGATAAAAATCGATTTAAATCTACTAGTAGGTAAACAAGCGTGTGCTCGGGATACTGCGATATGTTAGCGAAGTATACTACTATTGAGTTATACTATCCGGTGCGCCGTAACTCCGCACGGATCGTCGCCATTTTATAATATATCACCTTAACTCCGCATACAAGGTTTTTTCAGAAATTGATTTTGGAAGCTTCGGTAAATTTCGTATGCGTTCACGAGAAATGCTATCTCTTATTAATTTTGTGTCTTTACATGTTAAAGTTGACGCTGCTACTACATTAGTAGCTATTTCAAGTTTTATTAACTTGGAGAGACGATCATTAATATAATCAAGTCCCTTTCGTTTTATACCATTACTAATTGTTTGTCGAACAATAATATTGGTCTCGATATTTCCGTGTTCATGTGTACCTGATTCTCTCGAAAAATTATTATCAACGCCAATTGTGTATAATTATTTTTCACTAACAGCACATTTTTTCGTTGACTGTATATAAAACTTATTTCACTTGCCATTTTTAAATGTAAAAGTAAAACTTTATAAAATAAATTTGAAATCTAAACCTGATAGACAACTGATCAGTGATCACTGTCAATTCGTTGAGTTACAAAGACACAAGAAATTAATGGGTACACAATAATGATAAGATATTGCTATTTGTAGATATAATAGTTTAATTTCAACATGGTTTTACTTTACACCGATATAGGCATGGGAACTTTTGTTGTTAAAATATTTTTAGAATGCGGAGTTACGGTGCGTTCGTTTTTTCAACCATGCGGAGATACGGTGCGTTTTTATTTTCGACCGTGCGGAGATACGGTGCATGCGGAGTTACGGATTCACAAAATATTTTTATTCATGCGGAGCTATGGTGCGTTCGATCGAATATCTTTTGGTCGAACCGTAGGTTTTATTTAGAGGTGGGTCGAACTCAAAAATATGGTCTCGAACCGAACTTTTTATTCAACATCTAACCACACCGGCACCATATATTTATTATATCTCATTACCAAACCAAAATAAAATTTTGAATTAAATGGCAAATGGAAGCTTTATACTTATACTTTAGCTTTATACTATATACTCAGTGTTGGGAAATATCTAGATAAGTAGAATAGTAGATACTAATTGTTTATCTTTTATCTAATACGGATAATTTTCAGATTGATTATATTTATCTTCATATTGATAAAATTCTAGTTATCTATGTGTATCTATCTTTATAATTTCCTTTTAATAGGCAAAAAAAAAAATTTGAAAATTTGTATTTAGTATTCATCAAGTATTTATTTTATTTACAATTTACATCTTATTTTTTATTTATTTTTAAAATCTTTTAACTGAGTATAAAAAAATCTAAAATGATTCGGACATTTATTGTTTTCTTTTTTAAAATAATAAAATATGTAAACTGTTTTATATGATTTAGACAAACAATAACGTCAATAACGTTTCAAGTTATAATGGTGTATGAAAGTGTTTAATGTTTATTTAAAAAATAAACTATTTTATTTTATGTTTTTTTTTTAATATGCTTCAAATTATGTATTATCTTATATATATCTATATAAAAATGTATTAATTTTTATCTTTATCTAGATACAGTTTAATACAACTGTATGTATTGAGTATAATACTATAATACTATAATAGAAGTATATACTATATATTATTATTATATATACATATAAGTTATAAGTATATTATAGTTATTTTCTCTTTATATAGATAAATATTAAATTAATACAATTATCTACTCCGATCTCTGCTGAGTTATGTCAAACCAAAATAAGTAATAACTAATAACCAATTTAATACTATTCAAATTTTAATTTAATTGAAGTTTTATCAGTCTTAACATTTTTAGTCACAAAGACTCTTGAACTATATTTCATAATTTATTATATTGTGTCCATGTGTACTCCACATTAGTCCATCACATTAGTACACATTATGTCCATATAAGTATAATTTTTAACAAGATGTAGCAGAATTTGCAGTGTATTCGCATAATGTATGCTACTGATATGTTGATGATCATGACCTCATGTATGACATTAATTATAGTTTAAGTATAATAATTTAATTAGATCTTTTATGAATTCCCCGTGATTGTTGAGTTGTTCTAAGTTATATTAAGTTGATAGGATAATATGAGATTTCTACCTTGTGTGAACTAGTTAGAAATTTGGTAGCATTTTCAGGTATGGCAGTTAAATATATTATTATATTTAATGACTGATAATAATAATAATAATTCACACAGCTAGATCGTATCAAACGTGGATCAATATGCATGTTTACATGTATCATAACTTAAGACTGGATATTTATGTTATACTAAATGATAAAAAAATATTTTTTTTACGATTTTATAACCAAAGTTCTATTTAAATTGACCACTGACCAGTATTCAAAAATAGCAAAATATGAGTATTTACTATAAATTTATAGTAATCAATATATCATAAAAAGTACCAAGATATAAAAGGTTACAAACTAATTATTAGTTTATTGACTTACATTTGGTTTCTCTATGTATTTTATTTAGAAACAGAAATTTAGCACTCTAGCAGAGTGAGCTCTCCCAACTTGTTTTAACCAGAGTTCCATTTTTTCTAAACGTATGTGAAAATTATATTGTCTGAATAGGTATGTTATACAAAATACGTAACGAGGTGATATATCATGTTTTTGGTAAACATTTATTCAATCTATTTTATTGCTCTAAACCTAGTGAAATAAATTTCTATCGTTGCAATACAAATGTATCATAGAATATAATTAGTAGGTGGATGATAAAAGTAATACTTCATTCCCTTCTCTAGTTTTCCACTTAAAATCATTTTTTCGGTACAATGATTTATCATAGAATTCTAAATAAACTTCTAACATAAACTTGATTTTTTAACAATTATTTTACTAGATTCATTTAAAGTTACGGCTACAAATTCCAGTGAAATATCAAATGATTCTGATGAGATAAGGTGACTGATTTCAATTGTGTTTGCAATTGAATATACAACTTTATCATTTTTCTATAAATCTGTTAAATTAAATTTTTTACCAAAATTAACAAACTGCTATTTCACTCAAATCTTAAAAAATATCATCCACAGTATTATCAATGTTCTCTATAGTACTTTCAATGCTTTCAAAGTCACCCCTTCATCACAATTTTCTTCACTATTTTGCTATTCGACTAATACTCTGGTCGTGTTGCAGAGTTTTCATCAAATATTATTCCTGTGAATGTAAAACACATGTCTCAATTTTAAGTATGGCTGAGCTTTCCTACTGGCTCACTATTTGTACTTTCAATATTGGTGTGCTAGTTGCCTCCCGTATAGAATTAAGCAGTTGTTTATAAACTGTACTAATATATAGGTACTTACCAATAAAAATATATAGATTAATGTATATATTATACATAATAATATGATATTATTGTATTATAATTATAAAAAACTAAGTTTACTGTAACAAATACTTAATTTAATATAATCAAGGATAATATTACATAATAATGATCAATATTTGTCTTATAGGTATTTAGATATTTTTCTATTTAATAATATCAAACATTGGGGTTTTGTTTTAAGTCTAAAAAGAACTAATAGAACTGAAGAACTTCATACTAAAATTATTGAGAATAATTTAATTATTCAACATACCTTATAGTTATTTATTAGTGTTATTTTTGATTTTATAATATACCTCCTATAAAGTATATTATAAAATCAATAATATTAGATATGCAGTACTATTCAAAAATATCAGTATATGGGTGTAACACTGTAACAGAAAGAACCGACTCATGCAATAATTTTGTTATTTTTAATTTAGAAACACTTGCACTAGATTTATTGAATACATTTTAGATTCTGAGTGATGAATGTATTGCTCTTATAATGATGTGTTTGGCTTTTGTCTGTAATACAGATTCTGTATACATAATAAGTAGTCAAAATAATGCTTCAATTTTCAACTTCAATATCTTTTATAAAGGGAAAGTGAATTATTGCATTTGAGAGATCAAAATTTAAAATATAATTTGTTTTGCTCTGTCAAAATGCTTGAAAATAAAATATAAGATTCCTAGTAAGTTGTTGTAAGTGAAAATTAAAAAAAATCCATAGTTATTTTTTAAATGCTTCTGAATTTCAAATTCTGATAGTTTTAAAATTATTTTGAGTTACAAATTCCTAAAAAATGTTCTCTTTTAATTCAAGATTCCTTATATGTTTGTCTACCTTTATTTAATGTCTTCTGGAAGTCAAATTAAATTTTGATGAGCATTTGAAGTTCCACTTTTTATAACATTGGACCTAACAATTTACCTATTTTGTTGTAATTTAAGAACAAATTCTTGTAATTTACACCAAATATTTATTTTGTCATTTCCTGTACTTAATAACATTTTCAAAATAAGTTGACTCGTTTTTGAGCTGTTAACTGAAATTTTTATTTTTCAATTTTTTTATTCATTTTTTTGTTCTGTTAATATAAATAAAATTGTATTCATTGGTCAAAGAGTTTGAAAATTTACTATAAGGTTCTTGATATATTGTCGCAACAGCAGTAAACAAATATTAGAAACACATAGGTTCAACTTTTTGTAAAGTTCAAATTTTGACTTTTAAATTGAAAATGTACAAATTATTTTGTTGTTAAAAATGTATTAAATGTTTAACTTTTATACCTAAAGATTGAAGATTAAAAACGAGGTTCCACGTAAGTAGGTTTTTTTGTAACCAAAAAAATCTCAAAAATATATAAAGGCAGTTTTTTTATAATTATTTTTATATTTAAATTTGGACAAAATCACATATTAAATAACCAAAATAAAATTTGTTTTAATTTTAAGACATTATTTGTGGGTACCTACTTTAAACCTTTTGAGTAAGTTATTGTATACAAAAAAGACAGTATGCAAATAATATTAATTCAACCTACCATATACTGTAGTAATAATAACAATATAATATAATGCAATAATGTAAAATATTGTAGGTGGATAAACCGTCTGAACTCAGAATTGTTTTTAGTATAATACATGGATAATGAATTATCAAATTCAAATTTAACACCTTCCATTATAGTACTAACCTAGCAACCTACTGGAGCGTTATCCACTTACCAGTTATTTCGTTTATATTTTTTGAAAAATTTTCTTTCAAAATAGCCACTTTGAAAATCAGATTATAAAACTGATGGTAAAAACATTTATATAAGTCAAGTAGCTTATATTTGAAAATTTTTTTAAATATTAATTTTAAACGTAACAACTTTTTTCTAAATATTATTTTTGGTAATTTCCTAGCATGAGTATATTTCTTTAATTATTTATTATCCATCTCATTTCCCAAATTTTTTTCTTATGTTTTAACCATGTAGCGTAGGTACATTTTATCTTTTGTCAGATGTTTCTGTTACTTCCTTTATACACAATTATTATATTATTATTTATATACAATAATATATACTTATACATGTATACAAATGAAAATATAATTAAAAATAACATTGTAATTTATCAATAAAAAAAACATTCAGTAATAAAATGAAAATTGTAAATATAATAAAACTTTTGAATTAGGAGCCAATTTGTATAAAAATGATTGACCTTACCTAGACAAACCCTCCTCGACCCACCAATCACATCATTAACATTGTGTAAAATGTGATTGTTCTTATTATTCATGATGTATATAATTTACAAGTGCTTATATTTATTTATTTTAATTTAATTTAAATTATAAATGTCTCACAATATTAATGTGGATGATAGTATTCGGGATACATATTAGCATTGATATTTTACTTTTAATATTGTTGCATATTTTATTTTTATAGGTTTGAAATAGTATTAGCAGTGTTGGGGAGTAACTTAACTTAAGTTCCAAGTTACTGTAACGAAATTACTTTTTAAGTAATTTTATGGTAATTTAATTACATTTTATTGTAAGTAATTTATATGTAATTTAAGTTACTTTTTTGTAGTAATTTTTACTAAATTACTCGTTACTTTTTTTTTGGATTAATACATTTCTAGAACGTAGGTATTGATAAAGAGTGTAAATATTAAAATATATCATATACCTAATTATTATAATTTATAAGTAGAATTTTCTGAACTTGTGATACTAAAATACTTTTGTTATTATAGCTATTGACTATTTGACGATAA